TCAAAATGATACAGGTATCAGTTTGCTTTCCTATGATAATACGAGTGTTTATTTCTAAAATTTAGTAGGTATATTAGATCTTAAGACATGACCATATTGTAGAACAAAAAAATCATCCCCAACATCTTAGTCGAATGATCAGGGTGTATATTTTTTCTTATAATTTTAGAGACGTGTACTTTTGTGGGTTACGTAACTGCATAATCACAGTGAAGATTTCACTCAATCTTGAGGTAAATCTATATATATTAATCAGAAGTCAAAATCATACAGGTATCAGTTTGCTTTCCTATGATAATATGAGTGTTTGTTTCTAAAATTTATTAGGTATATTAGGTATTAAGACATGACCATACTGTAGAACAAGAAAAATTATCCCCAACCTCTTAGTCGAATGATCAAGTTAATACATTACGTTGATTTCATTCTTGCCTAATTTTAAAGGTGATAAGTGTAAAGTTTTATTTGTGCATAAAAGTGAAGATGACCTAAAGCCAATATCAATGGTTATAAAAAAAAAATGATTGTTTCATATTGTCTTTAAAACTTGTCAAGTTACAGAAATTGATTCATAAATGTAGTACATAAAATGTCGTAGTAACTAAAGATCATTGTGTGGACTATGTTTTTCTAGGAGTTATGCCATTTCTTGGTTTTCAGGAAAAGCTAGTCAATAGAAAACTCAGTCCACGTGTTGAACACATTGCCTAAATCCATTTTAAAAGCTCATTATAGACCTATACATAAGTTTGACATAGTAATTTTATGTACCACTTTGTTGTCATATGTGGTCAGGTCACATAATAGTTTGAATAAAGTTATAATTTATCATGATTTGATATTTTTCTGATCATAAATTTTGTCAATAAAGATTGAAAAGCAGCTACATAAAGTGTACATAGTTGTACTTCTGAAAAAAAAAAAAATTCAGTACCATAAAATCCAGAATCCTCTTTCTGAATTTCCTCAACCATTTTTGTTTTAATCTAGAAATGTTATGTAATTATTACTACATTGTATGTCAGTGCCAAATACTTGAGCACATATTTACTTCTTGTTAGATTGACTTTGGTCCCCTACATGTATTTTAGGTTAGTTTGGATTTAAAGATTCAAGGTAACATCTGTGATCTGTTAAGTTTTAAAAAGAGTTAGTTAAATCAAAGTAATTTTCTTTAGTCCTTACCACCAACATGTGTGATGCCTTCTATAAATTCTTTAAAATTAATGATTTATTGTTTCAGCATGTGCACTGTGTTTTCAAATTCTTGTTCAAGAACATAATATTTCAACAATACTTACAATATTTTTTTAGCTGAAAAAATGAGTGAAAATAAATCTTAGAGACAGTGAATATATGCACATAATGGTTCTTAAGATCAGTGATATGAACCTGAAAATCCATCTGTATTTTAATTTTTTTTATAAAAGAAAAGGTTTTTCAGGTAAAGCACATATGGTTGCAAGAATAATTTAACTTTTTATATACACTGAATTAATATTTAACTGAAGAAAATTAACATATCAAGCAATAAATTGTGTGCTTAAATTATCATATTTTTCTGTGTATGAATATTGATGGATTAAGGATTCTTTATCATGTGTTACAAGAATTACTCCTTATCTTATAGTATAAGAATTATCCTTAATCCTTTTTTAATTAGAATTATGTAAACAAGAGGTCTGACATATATATAATTTATGTAATTTTCTTCTTTGCAGAGAACTTGCTCTTTTTGTAATTATAACTTTTGCTCTGCATGCCTTAGTAAAGATCAAAGTGTCAGAAAGCAACCCAAGTGTTTTCGTTGTAGTGTACTATTTGCAGTGCCTCTAGATCGTGCTGCTTTAATGAGATTGCGGGTAAGAGATTTACAATGGTTTCTCAAGCACAAATCCATATCGACCATTGGCTGTAAAGAAAAAAATGAATTAGTGGAGCTTATTTTTCAAGACTCTAATCCACCAGCTTCTTGTGATAGAACTTCAACATATACTAATATTGGTAGTCAAAACCACACCATATTTTCAAATCTAACATCTAGTGGAAGTTCAAGCTCAGCTGAAGTTCATACAACCCCTCAAGATGAGACCTCCGAAGAAACACATACATATGTAAGTACCCTAACCTTATTATTGTCTTTTTTTTGAGTGAGAAATGTATTAAAAATACCATGTACAATTCTTGGAATCTGCATAGCATGAGAATCTTGTGAGTTTATGTTATGTAACTCAAGTTATCTAGCATACTGGACCTTACTCAGGTGATTAAACCTTCAACTGTGTGTGTGACTTAGTTAACTTGACTTTATTCAGGTGATTAAACTTTTAACCATGCATGTAACCTAGTTGACTGGATCTTTCACAGGTCTCCTGCTCAATTTTCAGAGGATATTAGTCACTTCTGCTCTCTCCTTGGTCTCTTGGCTGGTTTGTTGCTGAGATCTTTTGGTGAGAGAGATGCCTTGTTTGAGGATGTTAAATTTCCTTCTTTGGTGCTTAGAGATCTCAGAGAAGCTACTTTTCCCCAACAATCGATTTTTTGCAGATATTCTAGATTCCATGGAATCTCAAGTGGATATGGCCTGTCTCCATTCTTATCTTTTGGCACTGGCCTCCCAGTCTTCTACCAGACAGCTTACTGTACTTCCCATTCAGGTTTCCAGACTTCCCGCAAAAGCTACACATTCTATTGAAACACAGGGGAGATTCCACCCTTATCAGTGGTCATTCTCTGCTTATGTGGAGCGCTGACAACAGCATCAGTGAATACCCTGTAGGGGTTGACTCCAACAATTCATGTCTTCACTCAATGGGCATTCATACTCACCATTATATGGATGACTGACTTCTTCTTGCTCTTTCCCACCACTTTGCAGAGCTTCACACTTGAGCCCTTCTATCTGAAACTGTGAGCTATGTTTCTCATCAAACAAGAGAAGTCTATTCTTACTCCCAAGCAATACCTTGTCCATTTTGGGCTATTTTTCAATTCAAATCTCAGTTAGGCCCAACCTTCTTCTGTATGGCTTCAGGCCCTGGAACAAACCATTCTTCAAATACAGTCATCTCCTTCTCCACCAGCTCGGGCAGTTCTTTCTTTTTGGGGGTTGTGGGCATCCTTGGAATCACTCATTCCTTTGGATCAGGCACACATGCATTCCCTCCAGTGGTCGTTACAGGACTAATGGAACATTTGCACTGATGCACTTGATTGTCCAGTGACCCTATCGGTTTCCAGCCTGCTCGATCTTGGCTAGCGGTTGAACAGGGACAATACGACAGTAAATGTCCCTATCCTGCCCCCATGTCCCGAAATACATATTTTCACAGATGCTTTTCTCCAGGGATGGGGAGTTTGTGTATGGGATATGGAATTTCAGGGTTTATGTCTCGGGCTCTTGGATTGTTGTGAAGAAAGGTGATAATGCTTCACTTGGACAATTCTATGGTGATTTCCTACATTTCCAAGCAAGGGAGCACTCACTCCAGGTCCCTTTCTTTTCAGACATCGGATCTTCTATTTTTGGCCCACAATCATGAGATTGTTCTCCTTGCTTTTCATGTTCCAGGTGTTATGAATTTAGTGGCCAATCAGTAATCTCGTTCCAACAGAGTTCCTCCCACAGAATAGATGCTTCATCCACAAGTTTTTGTTCAATCTGCTTTCTTCTCAGGACACCTCAGATGGATGCTTTCACCACTCACTGGAATGCCCAGCTACTGTCCTTCTGGTCTCCTGTACCTCACACTCTAACTTTGGGCATAGATGCTCTCAGCCAGGATTGGATGAGTCTTTATCTGTATGTGTTCCCTCCAAGTCATCTGTTATCCAATGTTCTTGCACTGATTTGCTCCTCGTTCTGGTGGCATCTTAATTAATGAGGTCTATTGGGCATTATTTGTTGCTTGTTTATCAAAGGAAATGGTTTACTTATCGTAATTGGTCTCTCAGACAGGGCTTTAATCCTTCTCGTACCACTATTCAGAATGTTTCTCAGTTTCTGGCATGGTTATTGGACAATGCTATTTTTTGTTTTACTGGAAGACTTAAATTTTTTGAGGCTCCAGGTTTGTCTTTGCTTCTAAAATTTTTTTTTGTTATCCGTCCTTGCTGTCTTTTCCAGATTCCTAATTGGGATATCTTGGTAGTTTTCCATTCCTTATTTCATCCACCCTTTGAACCTTTGGCATCATGTTCCCTATATCACCTTTAAATTAAGGCTTATTATCTTCTATTGTTAGGTAGCAGACATCGATGTTCAAATGTGTTTGCCATTTATGTTCACAAGACTTTTTACCATTCCACTTATGTTCTGTTGTATCCTAATCAGACTATTCTTCCCAAAACTTCAGCAGCTAGAGGAGGGGATAAGACTTTCTCTCTTATTCATTTTCCCTCCATTTCCCATGTTTACGAACACTTGGATCCAGATTGTCTTTTATGCATGGCTAGGGCTTTTTGATGCTATGTTGCATGCACTGAAGAGGTTTCGGGATTCACGTCACCATTTTTTTATCCATTTAAATGCTAAAATGTCACGTGACTTATCCCCTGTTACTTTGATAGTTTGGGTTTGTCAATTGATGCATATTGCTTACTCTGGGCTTTCATTGGAGGAATGGAGACTTTTTCTAATCTCATCTCATCAAGTTTGCCATATCTTGATGTCCCTGGCAGCTCGGTTGTGTCGACTGCTGGAGGAGATTGTACAGGCTGGTCATGTGGACCATGTCTAATACTTTTATATCTCATTACTTACATGATTTGGTGGTTGCCTCCTCAAAAGGCTTTGGCTGATCCCCATGACTATTCTGCATGCCTTGACTCATTTGTAAAATAGGTGAGTGACTTCATTTCTTTTATGTTTATTTATATTCTTTTTCAGGGACCCTCTTGTCATTTTCATTGGTGTTGCTTACCTTCTCTTCATAATTCCAGTGGATCAGCGTGCAACTTTCAGATTGGGTTTCAATAATACCACATTACTAAACAAGATGAAAAATAATGTAGTCCTCATGCCCTAGCCACTACTCCGTGGATCTCATTTTGGGTCCACAGCCCTATAATTTCAATGACAAGATGTGGGACCTCACAGGCCTGGTTCAGGCATGGAAGAATTCATGTTCTTCTAAAGATTTAGGATTTTGCATCTACGGCCAGTCAGCCTTTACCACTCAAGGTTTGGATTTAATGTGGTGCGTGCAAAGAGCATACCTGTTCCAGAAGTAGTGAAGACCCCACTGGTGTGTTATTGCTATATTTCATTTTTGCACACCTCTTTTTTTTTTTATGCAGATGCTTTCTGTATGGACCTTGCTCTCACTGGTCCCTCCACCTTTTCAATGTGGGATTCTAGCTACAGTGTGAGAGGAGGTGTGTTTCGGAAGTAAACATTTTCCTATACTATAAATGTATTTCCCATAATACTTGCATCCACTCACACTCTCCTGCCCTTTCTCCCCATAAAATGGCCAATTTTGAGTCTGTTAATTTGAACCATCTTAAAGTGAATAGGAAGTAATAATGGGGAGCTTATATACGGATCTGGTATAAGGGGTGCATTGATATAGGTGGAGAGAATCACAAGATTTAAATCACTATTGCCAATATAGTGGGGTATGAAGGCTGGAGCAAGCGAGGTAAGATTCATACCAATGCTTAGATGGACAGAGGAGAGCAACTTTCATCTGGATAAAGCTACAGTGTGAGCGGAGGCAAGTATTACCGGAAATAAATTTTCGGTATAGGAAAATATTAATGTTCCTGTCTCAGTTAGACATCAGTAGTACTTCTTTACTTGTATACATTGTAACAGTTTAAAATAACATGGCACTACAACCAGGGTTCAACAAAAAACAATTTATTAAACTGTAACAACACTTGGAGTATAATTTAGCACTTACCAAAAATACAGTTAATAAGCAAATGCCTGGCTAGGACTTGATACTAATGTTAATAAATACTAATGTTTAGCTTTAGACCTAAAATTCTATGGTAAGCCAACATCAGAGAAACTTTTTTTTTAATTATTATGAACTTAAGGAGAAACTTTTAGAGGAAAAGAAAATTACTTACAACTTGTAAAAATAAAATATTAGAAAAGCTAACTTTTTAAAAAAAAAAGAAAATAACCCTGAGTAGTTGATGGGATCAGAATGATTTATTATATCATTGATTGACAGATAACTTATTTTAGGATATTGTAATAGTTAGTCGTAAGCAGGTCTGATGATTTTCATTTCCAATTTGTACTGTATGAAACTACTTTGTCAAAACTAACAATCAAAGCAAATATTTTGAAACAAGAAAGTGAAAATAAAATATATGCAGATGTGTATATTTTAAAAAGTTCATTTAGAACACTGGATAGAAAGAACATTCATTGTTGAAAAAATAATCAAACTTGGGAGACATGTACAGTTTGATTTTTTTAGCTTCTTTCTGTTGTTTTAAAATATTCTTAGCTTGTTTTTTGAAGAGAATTCTGTCTTTATTAAATCTGACTTAGGCTGAATTAAATCCTAACTATTAAGCAGTTACTAATACTGGACAGAAATATCTTTAGGGCAAATGATGATCATCTTTTGCCCTATTCAAACAACCACCACTTGAATCTAAAACAGCTAGTACCTTCAAGGAATATTCATATATGTGAAGCTTTCCACTGGAATGAAAAACAAAGAGGATCTGATTTTCAGTTACTAATCTGCAAGCCACCATGATATATAACATAGTTAGTCTAAGGTTTGTTTATTAAGGTAAAAGCAAAACTAACAAAACACTAGTTTTAATTTCAGTGCAGTTTCAAACTATATTGACTGGTCTTCTGGAATTTATGATGTGCTTTGATAAATTTAATTTCATGGGTACAGTATTAAATTTCAGGTACTGTCTTGTTAATACTATGGTTACTAAATCATACGTTTTAAACACTCAATTCATTTTTGAAAACAAAACCTTTTACCTTACAAAAAGCAGTCAATTTATTGAGCTTCTTGTTTTCTTATTTAATAATTTTTGCTCTTTTTATCATTCTTGAGTGTTTTTAGCATCGTGTATTAAATATATTGGAATTTTTGTGTTTCTTTGATTTTAGCAGTCTGTTGTGAGGGAGCAACCTCAACTAAGCCATACTTCTGCTTCAGGTGTCAGTAATGATTCAGAAGAAGTTAATGAAGAGGAACAAGTTAACTTAGAACACTCACAGGGTGATAAGGTTAGGAACTGGTTGGTTATTCTTATTATCACACTAGCATTATCATAAAAAAATCTACATCTAAATGTACATATGTTTTAATCATATAAATAATTAGTCTTACACTGTTGTGTTCAAATACTTTTTAACTAAAGTCATACTGTGATGAAAAATAACTTTTTTTGTTCACTATATTACTTTAATAAAAACTTATTTTCCTGAGCTACTTATATAAAAACCAAATGGGGCATTGTAGTATTTTTTTGTCATGTAGTGAGCCTTGTAACTTGAGGCAAACAGATTACATATAGGATCACTTAAGATTAAAACTTCTCATTAAAAGCAAGTACAAGACATTTTTCTAAAAATATATATCAAATACAGTATGTGATCAGTGGTATAAATTCCTAATTTACAAAAAAAAATTTTTTCTTTTTTTTTGTATGTTTGTATGTGTGTTTGTAAGACTGTGAAACAGGTTTTGATACATAAACACTGAATTAAATATTTCAGAAGGAAAAAACAGAATTTGATCAGGGACTGTACATAGCAGTAGATGACATTCACACTCCTAATCAAATTGACAATCTCAGTGCAAGACAGCTGAAGCTTATTCTTACTAGGAATTTTATAGGTTATCATGGAATTTATGAGAAAAAAGACTTACAAGCAAAAGTACATTGGTTGTGGGCACAAAAACAGAAAGTTAAAGGTAAGAATTTACACATTGTTGCCCACTTTCTGTCACTTCTATTTGCATGTATGTGTTGTGTGTTTACTTAGGATCAGTTAGTTGTTCTTGTTGCCTGCAAAGTTTGAGAAGATAAACTACATTCAAAAAGATTATTTCTGCATATTTCTTTAACTGCTTAAAGCACCTAATAAAGAAAAAATAAGCAAATGAAAAATATAAAATACAGTATTATGATTAGCTTTGATGTATATTTGTGTGTATTTATTAATTTTCATCTGTTGGTTTTTTATGCAGACCCTGACAGAACATATATCAGTCATATTTACATTCTGAAAATTGAACTAATCAGAGGCATCTTATAAAAAACATCATGGAATTATATAATTTTGTGAATATTTATCAACTTTGAGGGCATATTTTCATGTTAATATTCATTGATGATATTTATAACTCAGCAGCAAGAATAAAATTAATTTTAAAGTTGACAAATTAAGATTATAAACATAAAAATAAAAATACTTTTATGTCAAAAAATTTAATTAAAAAATACTATTGAAATTACTGTTCAAAACTATAAATTTCTGAAATCTGATTTTGCTTAGATTAAAACACATTAGAAAAAGATTAGTTAATGGTAATTTTTCACTTAAACTAATTCAGTTGTATGTTAGTCCAAAAACTATATATTTTAATAAATTAAACGTAGGTGTCTTTAGGCATAAAGTTAGCCTATTAGGCTTAACACAAGAAGCAAACTTTTCTAACATCTTTTTGATGTATTTATTTATTCATTACAATTTACTTACTTTAGAATTTGCTTACTCCGAGACATCGATAATCTTATATTTTCCTGTATTTCAGGAGTAGTGTAACAAGAAATGCAATACATATAACTTATTCTTTAACAAAATTATACATGAGAACTTAGTGTTTTCAGAAAGGCATCATCAATTAACAAAAGTTTAATTTGCTTTCTTCATTTGTTGCTTTTGTAACAGTACTTTAATGCATTTGTATTTCTTTCAGGAAATGGCAATCCTGCAACTTTTACACATAATATTTTGGGACAACATGGAATTTATTGGTCCATCTTGGCTGTTCTATCCTCTAAACTAAACTAAAACTATCAATAAAAAAAATTAAACTCAATTAAATTTACTGCTTCCACATCTGAAAGCAACCTATTCCAAAGGCCAACCACCCCATTAGAAAAATAAAACTGTCTTAGCTGAAGATGTCTCCTACCCTGCCAACATTTATATTTGTGTCCCCTAGTTATACTATTCTCACAGTACAGCTTATGTTGTTAATTTTTATAGCATCTTGTAAAGTGTTATTGATAGATCTTAGACATGTGGCAATATAAATGGCAGTTGATCAGTATGTACAAATCAAATTTTGTCAAACGTTTTTGTATTTTTTATGTTAAGTTAGAGTCATGCATCAATGAAATGCTAAAATATAATCACAGCTCTGTTTTGTAAATGTTAAAAGCTAGGTGATTTGTTTTGTTGACTTTCTCGTCACAAAATACAAAGGTTTTTTTTAATTAAAATGTACATTTATTTCATTTTTTTTAACTTCTGTATCTAGTCTGTTCCAATAAATATCCACTTTGGTACAAAAAAACTACACTGCGCCTACATAGCTGCATTGTATGTAATTTCTTGTGGTCAGCATGATTTACATCAGTATCTTTTTTGCAGATTAATAGTACTTACACACTTTTCTATGATTAAAAATTCAGGGGCATGAAAATGCCAGGAGATCAAATGATATTCAATGAACACTGGTTAAATGAAAGGGATAAAAATGGACATCAGTTAAAGGTATGGTTTATTAAGGGTAATGATTTCTACCATGAAATTTGCACCACATGTAAGATACAGATAAAATGTGGTAACAGTGTACTAAAAGAAGTTATATTACATAGGAAACTGTCTATATCCATCCTTTCATCAAATTAGGCAAAGCTATCACTTACAACTTCCAAACAGGATAATTGTGGAGAAATCAGTATTTTCAACTTTGTAGATGTTCTAAGAGCTAAAATGATATGGGTAGCCAAATGTCCAACATCCAAATTAAATTTCAGAGTTAGCGATAAGTTAGGAGATACATCCAAAGCTATGTCTAAAATTCCTTTTTTCAATGTAGATTGAAAATGTCCAATATCTTTTGTCAGATGGTTTAGGACCAACATTTGCTGCTACAGTTGTATCATATTTATCAGCCTCCAATAATTGTTTCCACTGCAGTACAGTGAGACCACTGACACAAGTAAAGGATCAGATGGATTTGTTAATTGAAAATTGGTCTCCCACTCCTAACAGTGTTTGGTGTCATTTTTACAAGACTTGTGCAGATAGAAAGATAATTGCTTTTTTTTATAAACAATGGGAGATTTACTGAACAAAGATTCTGTGCCAGTAAAATGTATTACATCATAAGGAAGCAATAGCTCCAACGTGAACAATACTATTTTTAGAATATAATCTCATGTTCAACAATTTTTTGTAGTGCTTGTCCAATGCTTAAGCCACCTCACTTCTATGTGCATGATAAACATTTCCCCTGGAAGGCTAAAATATAATTGCATACCCTATAATCTTCCCTCCTTCCTGCTGATAGTTTAAATAAAGCAAACAAGTCCAATGCTGACTGTTTGGTCACCCCTCTATACTCGTGTATGCTCTTACTGAAAGCAGTGTACACTATGTGAAGCAAGTATCTATTTAGAGGAGGATGAATAATTCAACAGCATTCAGTTGTCATTATAAGTTTTGCCATGAAAGTCAAACTTCTGCTTTTTTTTGTTTGTCATATCACTATTTCGAAAGTTCCTGAGTGAATGTCGGATGGATGCATCCATAATCTATAGTAGTATGATTAGCTTGAGGAACATTGTAAAAGATGACCTATTCAATGTCACCTCAACAGATTATTTTTTAAGGACTTAAACATTGCCATCAAAAACCACATGATACAAATATTTTTACTTGGAGATGTAAGATAAGCTCTACACTGAAAAAGTACTTGATTGATAGATTGCCATTTGAGAACAAGTTAACTGTTTGTCATCAACTAATGGGTATATCAGATGGAGGACTGACTATCTGTGGGATTGTAAAAGAATTAACCAGTACCAAAGGCAGATATTTATTAAAAAAAGCAAGAAAATGTGAATTTCAAGTATACATTTATAGACATAGGTTGTTGACTACCTTCTCTCTCTGGCCAGTAGTTCATTTCTCCATAAAATCTAAAATTTCTCTTGGATAGTTGAAGTAGTTGCTTGGAAAAAGTGTCATGTTTATCCAATATTTTAGAATTGCTTTGAAAAAATTACTTCATTGTCATTTGTTAACATGATCAGCATTACAATGAATTATTGTATTTGTATGTTATATTGAATATTTTTACATGTTTTACACTTATTTGTTAACTTTCAAATTCCACACACACACACATATATATATATATATATATATTAT